TGCAGATCCCGAGGCTGGAATAGGCGGATGGGGATGGCAGCATCCACAACTGCCTCCGCTCCTTTTTTGGGGAGGGGGTTCACAGCTTGCCCCCTATCTCCCCTCCCTCAGTTCCAGGCTAAGGGCCCCACTGGGGGCAGAGGAAAGAAAGATGCTGCCTGTCAGCCCTGCTTTGGGGTGACAATAGCTCCAGATGGCAGCCGGTGGGGACCTGCAGCCCCTCGGAGGTCTGGCTGTCCGCTTCCTCCGAGCCCCTGGATCCGGGAGGAAAACGCAGCCTTTCCCCTTTAGCTGGTTATTTCCATCTGCTTGAGAGCTGTTCTGCTGCCAAAGCTCTTTTGCAGTGCACATTTCATTGAGACCGCTGGCAAAGGCAGCTGAAGCGTGCTGGAGCTGGGAAGATGGGACTTTGAGCACTGGGACAAGTTCTGGAGGGAGGAAGGCTCCAGCCAGACACGTCCCTGAAAGCTGTCTCTGTGGCGAGGCAAAATAAGCAATAAGAAAAGAGGAGAGGCTTTTTGCAGCCTTTGGCATCATTCCCAGCTCTGCAAGAAATCCTGCGACGCCCTTTTGGCCTGACCTCAGCCAAACAGACCTCTTTAGCACGGGGCTGTGGGTCGTTGCTTGCCAGCAGCTGGTGCAAAAACACTCGTGGGTGGAGGAAGCTGACCCAGCTACTCCCGTGGCATTGCAGATTTCGTTTTAAAGCAACAATTCTTACGCTGTGGATGAGAAAGGTAGCTTTACTGGTGTAGCTTTGTGGTGCCACTGTCTTTTGCTGCTTGGTTGTTGCCTGGCTGAAGCACGCTGGGTTGGACAGGAGTAGCCTGGGCTGTGCCGGAGCTGCAGGGACAGGGGTGGCTGTGCCTTGCTCTGCTGTTGAGTGCTGTGACAAGCAGCCATGATAGCTGCTGAGCTCTGCGGGGGGAAAAAACAGAGCAGGCAGCATGATGCGAGGTGTCTTTGCAGCAGAAGACAGTGTCTGGCATGAATTACCCCCCTGCTGCCCAGGGGAGCAGCACTGCCAGCTCCGGCTGCCTGTCCTGCCCGCTCCGGAGCTCCGAGCCGTGGCGAGGAGCTCTGCAGCTGCGTGTGGTTACCTGTGTTTGTAAACCTGGCTCGGAAATGCTTTATTTTCCTTGCAAGAAACCTCATCAGAAGCAGGTTGTTTGGTGACGCGTCTGCGGAAGGTGGGTTTCTCAGGCAAGGGGGGATTTCTGGCTGGAGCACATCTGTAGCATCTGCTGTGTTTGGGATGGGGCTCTTGCCTTTCCCACCCTCGCTCTGCAGCTGGCCAAGCTGGGAAGAATGCTTCAAGGGGAGGTTCAGACCTTTCCCTTTGAGACCTGAGCCTTGCAATGTCTGCTTTCCTCTTCTTTTATTCCAGCCCAGTGGACTGCAGTGCTAGAAACTCTCCCCATTACTGCTTCCTCCTAAAAGCAGCTCAGCTTTTGCTTCCTTGCAAATGGGACTGGCCCCAGAGCCTGCGAGTGGCTGTCCCTGGGACTGGGGGGGGCTGGAGCTCTGGAGAGGAAAAGAAGCTGGTCTGGGGGCTGTGGCATGTTGCTGGATTCCAGTAGAATTATTATAAAGGCTTTTTTTTTTTTTTTTTTTTTTAATGTGTGTCTTGAGTGGCTTTTGCTTTTCCTCTGAGGAGGAGGGATGCTAGTGCCCAGCAGTGCCCAGTCGTGGGAAAACGATCCCTGCAGGGATTTGCTTTCTCCTCGTGCAATCCTGGTGGGGAGTTGACTTTCTGGGAATGTTGCACATGGGGGTAAGGAATACCCCATTCTCCTAAGGGCTGGGCTGAGCCCCCCCCCATGGATGGCGGGATGGGAATTGATGGGCTGCCAAGCCTGCGGCTTCGGGAGGCTGCTCTCCACCCTGGGACCAGCTGCTGAAAGCAAACCTCCAGCAGTGCCAGCCTGCTCGCTGCGCAGGATTCGCATCCTCTGCCTTCCTGTCTTCAGCTGTTAATTTTAAAGCAGGAATCGTTTCTTTCTGCCACTTCTGCATGGCCAGTGTGGCGATGGCTGTGACACCATGATTCATGGCTGGGAACAACCTGGCCACAGCTCTGCTGTCCCAGCTCGCTCACGTGCCACAGCGCAGCTATTTAAATGCCGCCCTGCCTTTGTCCTCACCTGGGAGTCTCCCCTGCCCTCTTGATCTCTCATTCTCTCCTTTTACTGAGTCGTCATAAAAATTTACTCCCTAAAGGTCTGGGTGCCCCGCTTGTAGCCAGCAACACCCACGGGCGACTGCGGTGTCTGGCAGCTTCTGCCAGCGGCTGGGCATGGAAACGGTGAGCTGGAGCCATGGTCCGTGGCTGGCCCTCGGCCCCCAGGGCTGTGAAATACCATCAGATTATTTTAGGAAATGTTGATTGGCAAAAAAGAGAAGTTTTCTGGTGGTTCGGTGGTTTCTTCTGGAGCTTGTGGTAGTCATGTTTTCTTTGCGTTTCTAACCGTCGTTAGACTCTCTGTCCTCCCCTGGTGTTTTTATTGAAACGTGAGATTTTTTCGTTGCAAATCTTGCCTTTCAGAGCTCTTAAGGGGAAAAAAAATAAAAAACCCAAACCAGGTCTGGGAACAGTGACCTGGTCCCCAGGGTGACAGCTGGGTTCCAGTGGCTCCTTGCAGAAATGGGGCTGTTCCTGCACCCTGGGCAAACCCACCCAGACCCTGGTGATGGGCTTGGATGCTGTGGAAGCCCTCCCCTCTTGCTGGGTCTTGTTTGCTGGTGAATTTGTGACTGGTCTGTGCTTCTGTCAGCTGGAGATAGCAGCCAGGGAGAGGAACTGAACTGTTTGAAAACACCTCCTGCCACCCCAGCCGCTGGCTGCCTGGTGGGTGCAGACCTTGGGTACAAAAATCCTCGATAAAACCATGAGAACTGGGAATAGTGGCGGCTTTCAGTGGCTCCGTCCAGCTGGAAGAATATGAGGTCACTGGGAGTGAGCTCTGCTGGTGGGTGAGGTGGCCCAGGGTAGCTTGGGTTTGGGTGTTTGGGCAGGGATGTGCAGATACAGGGGACCTCCTGTGTGTGCTGTGGGGCAAGGTGGAGAACCTCCCAGTTTGGGGTCTGGAATGCAAGAAAATGGATGGGGGCTGGCATTTCAGGCTGCTGCAAACCTGCGTGGGGAAAGGCTCCCTCGTGAGACCTGACCCACACCTGGGTCCGTCCTGGCAGAGGACACGGACACCCCACGTGATGCTCACTGCAAGATCACTTTGCTGACCAGCTCCTCGCACAGCCCCCAGCTTGGATCTGGAGCAGCACACTGGTGAGAAACAGGCTCAGGTCCCCAGCCTGTCTGTGACACTGTCCCCATCCTCTGCCGGGCTGAGCAGGCAGGTAGCATGGCCACAGATGATGGCATTTGGAGGTGCCACCGGGTCTCTGGGCCATGTGTGTGCTGCCACGCTGGGCTCCATCCTGCCCACCAGGCACTCCTGCTCTGGGAGTTTTCTTCATCCTGTGGCAGGGATTGGGGAGGGATTTTGTACCAGCTGTGGCAATGCTGCCCAGCACCAGGACCTGTGGCCTGGAAACTGCCGTGGTTCTTCTGCAGCTTCCTGACAGCTGCTCTGGGCTCCAGAAATAGCTGCTGCTCGGCTGGGGAGCTCCGGTGTCCCCACCTCCAGCTGCTTGGGACAGGGCTGCTGGGTCCCTGCATGGGGATGCATGTGGGTGATGGGGGGCTTGGGGGAAGAGGCAGAGGAGGAGGAAGGTGAGATCTACCGACAGATGCATCTCCCAAGAGCAGATGGCTGCTGAGGCCATGTGTAATTACCTGCTGCCGAGGCGGGCATTAATTGCCGCTCCAGTTGTGGATGCTGCCAGGTGGCAGTTGTCATCTGGAAAGTCCCCGCCGCTCCCTGGCAGGCAGGTCGTCTCATCCGGCCGTCCGCCGGATTGCGCATGGCATGAGCACTAGTCAGAGGCTGAGACAATTTCGGGTACAGGCTTCTCCCCCTTCCTCTTTCCAAATGGCCCCCCTTGGCCCCCTCCTGCTGACAAGCGCCCAGCTGCCATGGCTGGGTGGAAGAGCACTTGGGGGTGCCCGTGGGTGCAGGCAGCACCCCAGCTCCAGCTGGCACCACCCCCAGGGCCATCTCAGCTGCCACGCTGCCCTGCTTTATAGTGAACTGGCGTCGGCAGGGAGGGGGTGGGTATTTTTCATAAGCTGGGGAATAATTCACAGCAGATGCTTTTATCAGCCGCAGGAGATGGGCGAGTCCTGGGACCAGGAAGCTGCCCGGCCATCCCCAAGCCAGACCTCAGCAAGAGGGAGGCCTTGGGCCACCCACAAATGCAAGAAATTAAAAAAGCAAATAGCATGCTGTGTGCGAGTGTTTCCTTGTACTTGGCTCCCAGCCTGGCTGATCCCAGTGTTCCTGATTTGGGAAGCCCTGCTGTTGGCAGCTCTGGCTGAGCTGGAGGGCGGAGTGGGTCCCTGCCTGGCTGCTGGGGCTCATCTTACCCCCTGAAGCACTGCCCAGAGAGCCCACCAGCTGTGGGTTAAGGCTTTTGCAGCTTCAGACACTGCTGCCTCCCCAAACAGCCCCTCACAACCCTTTCTGCCCCCCCAAAAATATCCCACAGCGAGGGGGAGGCTCCAGTGACGGTGCCAGGGTCTGCACTGCTGTGGGTGGATGTTCACGGACTGGGTCTGCATCTGCATGGGGACATGGGGGCACACCGCTGTGACCTTGGCAACTCCCACACCCCACAGGGGTGAGAGCCGGCCGCGGGTGGGGGTGCTGGTGATGCCTCCTCCCGTGACACTTCTCATGGCCATGAGTCACCCGGCATGGTCACCCCGAGCAGGGCTGGAGGGGGAAGTGCCATCACCTGGGACACTTCTCAGCTGGCCGCCCAGCAGTGGGACAGCCCTGCGACCGTTGGTGTGGCACCCCGGACCCCTGCACGGGTGGGACCAGGGGACCACAGCACTGTCCAGGGACAGAGGAAGGTGATGCTGTGCTCCATTGCCTTGCAGGGATGCTCGGCTGGGAGGTAGGTGACTGAAGGGCGGGCATGGAGGGGAGAGGACCCTACCGCATCTACGACCCTGGCGGAGGGACGGAGGAGGATGGATCCACGGCCTTTGAGCGGCTGGTGGAGGAGAATGCCCGGCTGAAGGAGAAGATGCAGGGGATCAAGTCCATTGGTAAGTGCTGCGGGACAAAGGTTGCCATTGGGGCAGCACAGCCTGTGCCCACCGAGCCTGGGGGCTTCTGGCTCTATTTAGGAGGGGTGCTGTAAGAAGCTGGGGGTCTTGGCACTGGGGCAGCAGAAAGTTCTCCCCATCCTGGGGGCTCAAGCAGGACGACTGGGCTTTTTCACATGGGAGTGCAGATGGAGCAAGGCTTTTGCTGGACTAGAGTGTGCTTTATGGTGGGATAAATGGCTGGGAAAAAAAAGCAAGTGATGGAGCACAGTATGCTGGGATCTGTTCTGGTTTTGATGAAAGCCCCCACCTCCTGCAACCCCTGTCGGGTCAGGGGCTTTTCCCAGGTACTGCTCAAAGACGCTGGTGTTGGGTATTCCCTCCAATGGCAGGGTCATGCTGGAGTTGAAACATTGCCATTCCCTTTCTCCTCTTCGCCCGCCCTCCCTCACACGCACCTGGTTTTGCTTTTGGTCTCATGACCCAGCTTCCGCTTTCGGGTCCCGCTTCTGCAGCCGAATTTCCACCTGCCTCGTGATTCCCGTCGTGTCACCATGCCCCTACCTGGGACCCTGGGAGCAGCCGCCTGGGGTGGGGAGAGGGTTGCATTGCTGGTGCCAGACCCCCACGCTGGCAGGCTGTATCCCACACTGCTTGGGCTTAAATTTGGCTCTTCTGGGAAGTGGAGGAGACCTCTGCAAGATGCTGTGCTGCTCTTCTGCCTCCTGTAACCCATCCTCTGTGTGTCAGCATGGGGACTCTGCAGCCAGTGAACCACTGATACAGCTTTGCTGTTGGATTTGGACAAGAAAAGTTCTTTCTGGATGAAGAAGGACCATGCTGGGCACTTTTCCACCCAAGCAGGAGGCTCGGTGCAGGTGGATGGAGCTGCTGCAGGGCAGGCACTTGGGGAAGGGAGGCTGAGCATCTTTGTGTTGTCCACAACAGGAGAGCTGCTGGAGGAGTCCCAGGTGGAGGCATCCAAGCTGCGGCAGAAGGCGGAGGACCTCGTGAAGGACAACAAAATGCTGATAGCATCATCTGCCTTGGAGGACCTGCTGGTAACCGGAGGTAGGAGACAGGAGGCTCGCTGAGGAGGGATAACCTGGTGGCTTGGGAACCTGAGCTCTGGAGAAGGGCGGGGGTGCAAAGGAGACTTTCATGAGGGTTTCTTGCAGCCCTCACGTGTCAAACCACTGCTGTCCTCCCTTCTGGAGAGAGGTTTCTGTCCTGTCCCTGTAGCCAGGGAGGAAGCCATCCATCAGTGCCTGACCTTGCAGGGTGCCTGCTCTCTGCACCCCTGTGCCGGGTGGGGAGAGGCCTCGCTCTCCAAAAGGCTCACGGCTACATCCTCTCCCCTCTCCGCAGCTGTCGGCCCAGATCCCAGCTCCACACGTGTCACCCCGGGCAGCACTCAGCCGGACACAGAAGCACGGAAATCTCCTCCAAGCGTGAGTCTGGTGAATGGGAGAGCTGGTGTTGGCATGGCTGAAGGGAGAAACTCTCCATCGAGTTAACACAAAAGGAGGCAGCCTTTAGCCTCTAGAAATGGGGATAAATCTGAAAGGAGGGGTCAGGATCCCTGCTGTGTTTCCATCCCAGCAGGGATGCGGTGGGCATCCTGGGTTGCCATTCCCCAGCGAGACCTGACCTGGTGCCTCCCTTTGCAGGGATCCTCCTCGGAGTTTGAGATCGTTGCTGTTGAAGCGCAGGGGTTTCCCCAGGAGAGCGGTAGAGCGGTGAGTGGCCGTGGGACTGCTTCTCTTGCCTGGCCAAGATGGGGAGAGGGGACAATGTGTGGGCTGCCCTCCAAGGACAAGGACTCCCAAGTATAAGTGGTCTGGCTGGGCTACCTGGGCCTGGGGCCAGCAAAGCAGCCACAGGCAATCGGGGACAGCGTCATCTCCAAGTGCCATGTGACAGTGACGGGAGGGGCTGTGACAACCTGAGGATGCTCACCTCCTGACACCCACACGGAGTGGGAGGACCAGGTCTCTTCTCCAAGCCCCATCATTGCTGACAGGGTCTGCCCCAGCCAAGGCACCTCTGTGTGCTCCATTTGCTGCCACCTGAATGTCCCCCCTGGCTGGCACTGCTCTGTCCTGTCCTACTCCACCTTTTTGTGTCTGCTGGAAGGGAGAGGAGCAGGGGTGGGGATGACAAGGGCAACGAACATCAGCTTGGATCACACGGTGCCAGTAAGGGAACGTGTTCTTGTTGCACATCCCTGTTTGCATTGGCCAGAGGAGCTGCAGGAGGGGTTGTCTCTCCTCGGACCCTCCCGGGGCTGCAGCCATGGGGTGATGGGGAATGGGGTGGCATCTGCCTGGTGATCAGCTCCTGGCGCCTGAGCCAAGTCCTTGTCCTGTGCTTGCACCCGAGCTTTCCCAGTGCTCCAGCTGGGCTCAGATCCTCCCTGCTTCCCCTTGCCGGTGCTGGCAGGAGGAGCTGGCCATGCTGTGCCCTGCACACACCATCCCATGGCAGTTTTAGGGCTGTAAACCCCAGGGCTGGCGTGCTGGGGACACGCTGGGCTCCTGGCCCCACGCGATGCTGCTCGGGGCATTCCCCGGCAGGCTGAGTCAGTGGGGCTGGGAGCGGTGCAGGTGAAGGTGTGCCCGCATGTCCCCACCTCCTCCCTGGCAGTGCCACTGTGCCAGGTGGTGTTGTGCTGGTGGTGTTGTGCTGGTGATGTCTCCTAGGCGATGGAGGAGTTAACCAGCCACACCAGGGGAGGATGAGGCTGTTGGGGACACCTCTCATGCGTGGGTGCAGGTGTGCCGTGATGCTGGTGGGTGTGCCACTCTTAAACTCTCCCGGCCACCGTTTAAATCCCGTGCATCACCCTCTTGGCTGCTGCCTGACAAAGAGCCCGGGTTTCCAGTGGGAGCTGCAGAGCCATGCTGGGGGACAGGAGGAAGGAGGAGATGGGAGATGGGGTAAGACCACCCCTCACACGGCAAACCTCAGCTCCTGGCACAGACCATGGAAAGGACAGTCTCAGGAGCTGGGGTTTCTAGTCCTGGTGCTGTTGGGGAGAGCTCAGGGGGAGAAGGGATGAGAGGTGGAGATGCCTCTGTTGCTATCAGCAAACTGGGAGCGTGGTCTGCTCAGGGGCTGGGAGAGCTGCTGTAATGTCTCCTTCCACCCGGGAACTTGGTGTCCCATGTCCAGCAGCTGGGAATCAACCCTGTATAAAGCCAACACAATTTGTCAGTGTAATGAGAGCTGTTGCAGCATGTCTGGTGCTCCTGGCTGCAGCCCTGGGTGGAGGACAAGGCTGACCTGCCCTGAGAGGGAACTTTGCAATGCTCCTTGAACCCATCTGACCGCGCTTCATCCCCTCCTCATCCCCAGGACTTGGAGCAGCCGCCGAACGAAGACACCAACCTGCTGCCGCAGCTGCAGCAGCTGGAGAGCACGCTGAGCGGCTGCGCCAAGGAGGCCAGCAAGGACCAAGTCTTCATGCGGATGGGCTACATGGCCTCCGAGCTCAAGCGCCTGGCTTCCAAGGGGCACAAGAACGAGCAGAGAACATCGTTCCTGCAGGTGAGCGAGGGCTAACTGGGCTCTTCATGGGGGTTCCCCCCCCCTTTTTTTTTTTT